ATATATATATATATACCACATCTTCTTTATTTTTTTCAACGTTTATTTATTTTTGGGACAGAGAGAGACAGAGCATGAACGGGGGAGGGGCAGAGAGAGAGGGAGACACAGAATCGGAAACAGGCTCCAGGCTCTGAGCCATCAGCCCAGAGCCCGACGCGGGGCTCGAACTCACGGAGCGCGAGATCGTGACCTGGCTGAAGTCGGACGCTTAACCGACTGCGCCACCCAGGCGCCCCAGCCACATCTTCTTTATTCATCAGTTGATGGACATTTGGGCTCTTTCCCTAATTTGGCTGTTGTCGATAGTCGTAATTTGGCTGCTATACTATAAAAACTGGAATGCATGTGCCCCTTTGAATCAGCATTTTGGTATCCTTGGCATAAATGCCTAGTAGTGCAATTCCTGGGTTGTAGGGTAGTTCTATTTTTAATTTTTTGAGGAACCTCCATACTGTTTTCCAGAGTGGCTGCACCAGTTTGCATTCCCGCCCGCTGTGCAGAGGGGTTCCTTTTTCTCTGCATCCTCTCCAACATGTGTTGTTACCAGAGTTGTTAATTTTAGCCATTCTGAGGTGTGAGGTGGTATCTCATTGTGATGTGTTTTGCTTTTTTGATACTCAAATATTTTCATCTCTGGCCAGAAATCTCCTTAAATTGGCTTTTACATCCTTTCCACACTACTACTCACTGATAGTTTCCTTGCTTTCTGGTGTGACAGCTCTTCTAGGTTCATCTTATGTATTTCCTGCCTCAAACCTGGAATGAAACAGAAGGAAGGAAATGAAATGATTTCAGAGTATTATTTTGAGGCACAAATGTTAGCAATTGGGAATTACCATGGAAATCAGCTAATATGTTCTAATTCATACACAGGCTTTAAACACGACTAGTGACGTAAAAAATACTTGTCATCAACTGAACTTCCTATTTCAAACATGAAGTGTTTTCTTTGTGGTAATGTAAAGTGATATTTTTCTTTTCTTTGTAGGCTTTGCCAATCAGTCAGAAGACGATCAGGTGAATGTAATGGGTTTTCGCTTCTTAGGAGGTTCCCGAGTTACTCTTCTTGCTTCTAAAACCTCTCGTAAGTAAAACCATGGTATTCTTACTTTTGAAGTTTTCTATTGAGGACACCACATCATAGATCATCACATCAAGGATTTCTGCAGAGGGTGTGTTCAGTTAGATATTGAAAACTAAGAGTCATGTTATTAAAAGTACGTAGGACATTAAAGTTACGAAGATAGGATCCTGTTTTATTAGAGATATGTAATTTTGGTGGTGGCGATTAGTAGAGTTTGAGAGAACAGTTTAAATAATTGAAAATATTTTTGATGTTTGTTTGTTTATTTATTTATTTATTTTGAGAGAAAGAGACAGAGTGTGGGTGGGAAGGGGCAGAGGAGACACAGAATCCTAAGCAGTCTCCAGGCTCCTAGCTGTCAGCGCAGAGCCCAACATGGGGCTCGAACTCACAAACTGTGAGATCACGACCTGAGCCAAAGTCGGATGCTCAGTCGACTGAGCCACCCAGGCACCACGAAAATATTTTTGAGATAGGTATTCGGTGAACTAGGTTTTAGTAACTACTAGAAACTGGAATTAAGTTATGTGGGTATGTATGTTCATATACCTGCCTTTTGGACATTGGCAAAGATGAAGGTGAAAGTGTGAATAGCTTTTGCTGATGCTAATCTCAGTAGAGTGAAAAGTAGTAATTATATAGTCAAGTTTGAATTTCATATTTAAATATTCTTTATTGATTTGGTTGCTTCATAGGAGAATAATAGTTGAAACTACTCAATGTAAAAGTGCTTAAAGTGTGATACCAAAGCTACTAAAGTCATTGAGTTATATATATCTTCATGGAAATAAAGTATAATATTAAGAAACGAGTGTTTAACAAATTTTCGGAACACCAAGGGTATTAGGGAGAATAAATGCATGTATGTATATGTTGAAAAGTTTGGCTGAGTCCACTTAGCACACGTTTAAAATCTCTGCAATTTGTGAAATGAGTGTATACTTTCTACTTTATACATTTTCTGTTTTAGTTGGTTATTTCTTGCATGATCAGAAAATATAGTAAAATAAGGATATATTTCTTTTGAAAAATGAAGGTGTTAGGAGGAAGATAAACACATCCCTATTTTAGAAACTATAACGATGTTACAGTTCTGGAATATGTAGAGTGGTGGCTGGTGAAATAGACTTGGATACAAATAAAAATTCTAGAATAAGGCATAGAAATCAAAGATAGTTCTTAAAAGAATGAAGGGATTCTGTACTTTTTATGGTCTTTGTGATTGGTCATGATTGTAGTCTTGTTTGCATTGGCACCATTTTGTTTTGATTAGATTTAATCTTCATTTGGATGATGGAGTTAGTTTGGTACATTTCTCTTTGTTAAACTGTTCTCTTTAGTTAAACTAAAAACCTGTTGCCAGCATTTCTTTGGGAAGTTGTACACATCTGTTTGACTTCAGTTGATGTGCCATATGATGAATCTGCAGTTGAAATTACTAAAACAAGGCAAAAAGTTATTCTTGGTGCAAATGTGGATACTTATGTCCTAATTTGCTCTTTTTTAGATAAAGTAACTCTTAGAGCATTGCTATTGCCCATGATTACCTTACCATTTCTGAATTTCACCAAATATCCAGGTATCTAACTGATATATTCACATTCATCTGAATATATGGTAGTGCCTTCACACAGCCATATTATGGTCAGACAGAGTAAATAATGGAATAGGACAGAACCTTTTAAATAAGAAACCAAATGAGCTGTATCTGCTGAAACCTGAGGTACCGTCATTATAATTCCCTGATGGTGTTTAGCCTTCAGTGATACGGAATTCTACCTAGGAAATGCCTGTGGTGATGAAGGGAGGTAGGTATGAAGAGAATAGTTTTCTGGGGTTGAGGCGGATGTTGAGGATCCTTCCTGCTATATCAGAGTGTTCTACCCCAAGACAAGAATGACGTAATTTGTACCCAGTCTATGTTTGGCATCTTTTATTTTTGGTGAAAGGCACATAGTTTTTAGTCTAGAAATCTGAATTCACAGAAAAGCCCTACATATGGAAAGAACCCAGTATTTCTTCCCTGGTAAACGGTCAAGTGCTTTGTAAGTCATATAGAGTTGCCTTCGGATATTGGATAGTATTTTCTGTGGACTCCACATATTCATCTCTTTTTAAAACCTGCTTGATAATCAGCCAAACCTTGAACTGTGCTGATGGTAATTTTAGTTCAATTTCCTGATTAGTTATGGATCAGCCAAAGCAGACAAGAGAAAAGCAAATGCAGCTCATTGTCTCAGATATCAAGTCACATTCTCTTGGGGGGAACTCAATAGGTTTTTATTTTCAGAAAGTAGAGTAGTCCTTCAATGTAATTAGAATTTATTATGTGAATCCTTAAAAAAGAAAGCATTGAAGATAAGTAGGAAAAATACTCTACCCTAGATAAATTTCTGAAAATGATTTCCGGAGTCCTAAATTAAAAATAATAAGAGAAATGATGGCTGTGTCTGTTACCTTGATTGTAGTGATAGTTTTACGAATGTATGCATATGTCCAGATTCATCAAACTGTGCACTTTAAATATGTGTAGTTGTTTTGTATTATCAGTTATACCTCTCTAAAGTTGTTAAAAGTAACAAAACAGGTCAAATTTTATGAGATCAAATATTTTTATAATCAGAGTTGTAAACATTTGTATATGAAAGTCAATTATTTTGATTCAGTACAGTGGGATTTCAGGAGAAATATGCTGTTGTCTAAATATGTGTATATCCTTGCTATGCCACTTTTTTAAGCTCCGTTTTCAGTGACTTATTACCTCACACAACAAATACTGTCACCTCTCTGTCTTTCCTTCCTCCTGTTCCTTTCTGTCTATAATTTTCTTTGTGTTCCTTATCCTTATTTTGATCTCTATTTTATCTCTTTGTGCCTTACATTATTCTACTTGTTTTTTAAAGGATTAAAAATAGTTTATAAAATTTCCAAAATATGAAAGGAGAAGATAAGTAGTTGAAGGAAACAGAGAGAGAGAAAAGAAAAGCAGGAAATTAATAAAGATAAGAATAAGATTAACACTCAGAAACATATACTGTACAATTGATAGGGTGCCTAGCAGACTCAAAGTGACAAGAAAACATTTTAATTCCAATTTTCAGAATGTTCAAAGGATAAAATCAAATAAGTTGTTTAGGAGATGCACAGCCTTTTCTGATGCTGAGTCCAGAATGGAGTTTCTCTTCTGAATTCACAAGGACAACTTCTTTAATAATGTCTTTATAGCTTATTTTTATAATTATAATATTATGTAACTATAATTTATGAGCAACAGATTTCATAGAACTTTAAAAATAATAATGAACTCAATTTACTAAATATAATTCTGTCTCAGCCAAAATCAGTAAAGTCTGAGAAGCAGCTTAATCCAAGGATAAATTTAGAGTTGCTAATGTTGCAAGTTTTTAGTATCTCATATTTTCACTAAGAATTGTATAACCCAACTCAGTAATTCAGAAGTGAGATGTGGGAAGGAGTTGTGGGTTTTGTTTTGTTTTAAAATGAGCACTATTAGAACATGCTTCAATAATAATTGAAATGATTGAGTTCAGTGGGAGAGGCTGATGATCAGGAAAAAAGGGGACTCACAAAGCAATGAAATCCTGGAGAATTAGAAAGAATGTGGGCTTCAGAGTTTGGGGAGCAGGGGAGATCGAAGGATAGGCGTTTGTAACTTTACTATGACAGGAGGGGTTGGATGTAGGTCCAGAGAGACTTTAGATTTGTTGGTGGGAAGATAAAGGAGCTTTTTTTTTAAATTTTTTTTTAAAATCTTTATTTATTTTTGAGAGAGAGACAGAGTGTGAGCAGGGGAGGGGCAGAGAGAGAGGGAGACAGAGAATCTGAAGCAGGCTCCAGGCCCAGAGCTGTCAGCATAGAGCCTGACGCGGGGCTTGAACTCATGAACCGTGAGATCATGACCTGAGCTTAAGGCGGATGGTCAACCGACTCAGCCACCCAGGCGCCCCAGGAGCTTTGATGTATAAATTTGAAAAAAAGATATGACATTGGTGTCTTGGAGAATAAGAAAGCAAACTCATGAAGGGTAAGGCAATGTCAATTTCCCATTTGAAGTTTCTGATCCTGAATTTTGAAGTGAAACCAAGTCATCCTTAGACAATTTTCTCTGGCAGTGATTTGTTTATTAGCATCCAGGCAACTAAAGTCACGGCTGGGATTTTGAAACAGATTATTGCAAATAAAATATTTTTGTGAGAATGATTTTAATAATGGCTACCACATCTAAACTGATAAGAAGAGAAGTAAAGGTTAGAGAAAACTGACACAGGGTGAAAAATTAATGGGTTCAATGGATCACAAGTCTTTTTTTTTTTTTTTTTTTTTTGAGTGGGAGAGAGAGAGATTGAAGGAGGGAGAAAGGGGGAGAGTGAGTAAGTGCAGGAGCGTGAGTTGGAGAGGGATAGAAGGAGAGGGAAAGAGAATCATTAGCAGGCCTCATGTCCAGCACAGAGGCTGATGCTGGGCTTGATCTCCCGACCATGAAATCATGATCTGAGCCAAAATCAAGAGTAGGCTACTTTACCGACTGAGCCACGCAGATGACCCTGGATCACAAGTGTTAATAAGGTTGAAAGAGTGGTGTGGTGGGAGTTGTAGAACAACTGAACTAGAAAAACAAAAGGTGGTGGTCAGAGAATGAATAAGATATTGATGTTAGAGTTCAGCGGAACTACAGATTCTGATAAAGACAAAGGTGTGACCTTGTGGAGTGCTTTGTGGAGATGCCAGAAGATCAATGGAGACAGGGTTTTCGAGGAAATCAAGTGTCACAGTTGTGGATATTTAAAGAGCCTATTTGATGTTAGCACAATGAATGAGAAAAAGAAGCACATCCAGATATATTATTGTGAAATTTTAGAGCACTAAAGATCTGGAGCATATCTTCAAAGATTAGAAAGGAAAAAACAAGCCCCGCAAAGAAGATGAATCAAGAAAGCATTTTAACTTTTCATTAAAATCCTTGGATGTTAGAGAACAGT